ACAGGCCTCCCAGTGGGCCAGACATGTGTCCTGCAAGAAGCGAGATCTAGGGGGAGTGCAGACAAATGGACAGGCCATCATCCCATAGGTGTCAGAGGCAAGAGGAGGCTGAGGACAGGTGCCAAGAAAACGCCAGGGGGAAAGGCCACCGATGCCAAATGACATGTGTGGAAAGTTCACAGAAGCAGCAGAATTACTGTCTTTTTGCCGTGTATAATGTTCACTTTTTTGACCAAATTTTTTAGGGAAAAATAAGGATGTGCACTATACATGGGTATAATAATCCTGTGTATTATGTGCGTAAAAATGTGGGTGCATGTTACATACCAGAGCGCATAATACACGGCAAAAATACGTACAATGACAGACCCAAAGGCCCATCTAGGCCGTGGGTATGGGGTCACAGGCTCCTGGATGCCTGCCAGGAGATGGCAGGAGAGGCCAGGAGGAAGCGTGGGCACGTCCCGCGGCCTGGGAGCGAGCACATGTCCTTCAGAAAGCTGCCCTGTGGAAGGGTGTGCGGACTGGTGGACAGACACCTGGATCAGTTTCCACTCTCGCGGGACAACTCCCTCACCTTCCTAGTATTTTAGTGGGACTTCACCTCTGAGCTGTGCTCCCCTTCGGGTGGAGATGACAAAACCCAAAACAGCATTAAAAAAAATGTACTAAAATATACATAGTATAGAATGTACAGTCCAAACTGAAATTTTGTCCCCATTACACATGAACTCCCCATTTCCCTTCCCCTGGCCCCTGGCGAGCACCATCCCGCCATCCCACGCTCCGTCCTGTCTTTGCCTATTCTCTATATCTCATGTGAGTGGAATTCTAACAGAATGTGTCCTTTTGTGACTGGCTGATTTCACTTAGTATAATCATGTCCTCAAGGTTCATGCAGGCAGTAGCAGGTGGCAGAATTCCCTTCCTTTTTATAGCTAAATAACATTCCACTGAATGTATATAACACAGACTAATCTTCCATTCATCTGCTGACGGCTATTTGGTTGTTTCCATCTTTTTTTTTTTAAATCCTCACCTGAGGGTATGTTTACTGACTTTAGAGAAACATCATTCAGTTGCCTCCTGAACACACCACAACTGGGGACCGAACCTGCAACCTAAGCGTGTGCCCTGACCAGGGATCAAACCTACAACCTTTTGGTATACAGGCCAGCACTCCAACCAACTGAGCCACCCAGCCAAAGCTGATTGTTTCCGTCTTCTATTGCAAATAATGCTGCTCTAAAGACACAGGTACCAATGTCTGTTCAAATCCCTGCTTTCTTTTGAGTATATATACAATAGTGGCAGTGCTGGACCATGTGGTAATTTTATGTTTAAGTTTTTGAAGAATCGCCACAGTCTTTTTCAGCAGCTGCACCAATTTTACATATTCACCAACAATGCACAAGAGTTCCACTTTTACCACAATAGAATCCTAATAGCTGTGAGCTGCTATCTTTTAAAAATATTTTATTTCTTTTTATTTATGGTTTTTTTTTTTTTTAGAGAGAGGGGAAGGGAGGGAGAAAGAGAAGGTGAGAAATAGCAATGTGTGGTTGCCTCTCACACGGCCCCCACCGGGGACCTGGCCTGCAAACCCAGGCATGTGCCCTGACTGGGAATTGAACTGCAACCCTTTGGTTCACAGCCCACGCTCAATCCACTGAACTACACCAGCCAGGGCACTATCTCTCGGTTTTGATGAAGGGGTTTTTAAAAGATCCTTGGGTTCATCCTGGTCTAGGCAACAACACAGAGTTACTTGTCTATTCAATTCTCCAAAGCCTCCTGCAAATTCAAAGACCTGGCTTTCTCGAGACTCCCCACAAAGCCTGTCTTGGGGAGCAGGACACCACCCCACACGGATGGACTCCCTGGCCCTCCTCACCCACACTCCATGCACAGAAATTCTAATGTTGCGGCTGGTTTTGCATAGATGCCTTGCTTCCCTCATTGAAGCTCTGCCTCAACTGGGCTCTCACACTAGACATACTGTAAATGACCCGTTGACCCAAGTGCCACCTGCTGCCTCCTCCCCATCGGCTGGGGTTTTCAAAGGCTCCCCACCAGCCAGACCTCCTGGCCCACTCCATTCATCGGCAAGGTCCTTTCAAGAGTCAGTGAGCCCTGACCAGTGTGGCCCTGTGGGTTGGGTGTCATCCTGCAAAGCAAAAGGCTGCCATTTTGACACCTGGTCAGGACACATGCCTGGACTGTGAGTTCTGTCCCAGTCTGGGAGTATACAAGAGGCAAGAGATCAACGTTTCTTTCTCTCATCGATATTTCTCTCCCCCTTCCCCTCTCTCTAAAAATAAATAAATAAATAAGATCTTAAAAAAAAAAAAGTGAAAACCCCTACAAGAAAAAGCCACGCCCTTGGCTCTCCTGAAGCTAAAACTCCAAAGAAATACTACCATGTGACAGTTCATCTAAAGTTGAAATTGCCAGAGAGACAGAGGGTTTTACCATGTGAGAAACTGCCAGCCCTCCCCAATTCCTATCTCCTCATTCCTCTTATCTCCTAGGCTGCAGGTGGTTCACAATGGTTGGCTCTGCTGCTCGTTAACAGAGGTGATGACAGGTCCTAGAAGGAGCAGATTCTAAAATTGGGTAACCTCTCTATCCACATCAGCCCCTGGCACACAAGAGCTTCGCAAAGGTCCGCTGAACAAATCAACACTAAGTCATCAAAACAAGGCTGTCTGTCTGTCTTCCCCCACCACAACCAGCCCAGCTAGCGTGTGCTGAAGTGGCGTGTGGCACCCGGGGAAATATGAAATGCGGGAATGTCACATTTTCACTTTTTTAAGTTTAAAGGCATAGCAGGTAGGTACAAATAACAGCATCAGGCATGGGTTGCCTTCTTATTTTTTTTTTCAGGTTGATTTTTAAAAACTTTATTTTTTATTTGTTTATTTTTAGAGAGAGGGGAAGGGAGGGATAGGGAAAAAAACATCAGTGTGTGGCTGCCTCTCTAAAGCCCCCTACTGGGGACCTGGCCCACACCCCAGGCATGTACCCTGACTGGGAATCCAAACTGCAGCACTTTGGTTCACAAGTCAGCACTTAATCAATCCACTGAGCCATACCAGTGAGGGCTCAGGTTGATTATTTTCCCTCAGATTCACTAACTCCCGTGAATACATAAGCTGAGCTGAAGTAACATATTTACTTTGACCCCATGATTGTTGGTTTGCATTAGCTGACATCTATGTTCAGGTTTCCGTAGAGATCTGTACCATGTTAACAAGCTGTCCCTCAGTTTATTGGGTTGGCCAAAAAGTTAGTTTAGTTTTTTCTCTGTGATGGCTCTAGTAGCACTTATTTGTCTTTAACTTCATTGGAAACAACTGTGTTAGACTGCATTGTGACAGCTGTCCTATCAGCATGCATTAAAAAAAAACTCACAAAACTGGTCAGTTTCTATGCGGCCATTCTAACATTGAAGATGGAAGACAATACACAACCTTTTTGGCATATTATGCATTATGATTTCAAGAAAGGTAAAAACACAACTAAAGTGCAAGAAACGATTTGTGCAGTGTATGGAGAAGGTGCTGTAACTGATCAAATATATCAAAAGTAGTTTGCGAAGTTTCTCGGTCCTATTGATATTTTGGCCAAATAATTCTTTGCTGTGAGTCTGTCTGATACATTGGGAGATATTTAGCAGCGCCCCTGGCCTCTACCCACTAGAAGTCAATAGCGGAAGAGAGCGACATACTCAAAATATCCAAATCAATAAAGTTATTGGGGAAAATGAAAAACGTGTCCTTTATTTTATGGAAAAAAACCTACACGAACTTTCTGGGCAATCCAAGTTAAGCTGGGGTGGTGGACTTGGGGGAGGACACCCGCGGAGGTGAGGTGCCCATCTCACCCACCCTTCCCGGGGCACATGAGTTCTTTATTTCTGAGTCACAGCAAACACTTTGGCCACCTCTGACGCCTGGCAGACTACCAGGCACTCCAAAAAGGGACCCCCCCCCGCCTCCAACGTCTGTTTGTCACCTTAGAGACACATCACATCTGCACGCTGTGGAAACACTACTTGGTTTTAGTTAGATTCTTTGTACAGTCAGCCATGTTATCATTTCAGTGCTGAATTCTTTAAACAAATACCCATGACTTTTCATTCCCTATCCTGGGCCCCTTTATCGCTTTCCCGAAGGCACTCCGGAACCCGAGACGGCCCAGTGAACGGGTCACCAGCGTTCAGGAATGCAAACTATGAAAGGAGTTGGTTCTCCAACTCGGGACTCCCGGCTAACACCCACTTTCTCAGTCCTTCCTGCCAAAACATCTACCGTCACTCGCAAAGCGCGTCGCGCCCGGTCTAGCGCCCCGACCTCTGAGCACCGAGGGGCGCGGGAGGAGCAGGACCGCGACGCCATCACCTTCCTCCGCTCCGAGGGCCGGGCTGGCCGCTGCGGACGCGGCCGGCCCTTAGCGGGTTTTAGGACAGCGCCTCGCGTTTCCGTCACTGGACAGCCCTTGCAGTCGGACGGTTCACGTCTAAACCCGAGAAGGCTCCAGCCCGGACCCACGCGCGGCAGCCCGGGAGGGCACAGCCCCCTCGTCCGGCGGACAGCGCGCAGTTCTCACGTGGGCGCCCGCAGGCAGCGCGAAAGCAGGCCGGGCCGCAGACTGCGCCCACTTCGCGGCCACTGTGCGCGGGAGGGCTCCCCGGCGTCGGGTGAGGGGACGCGGACGGTCCGGGCAGGAGGAAGAAGCGGGCTGGAGAAACGCTATGACCCAAAGAACCAGGCCCCTCCGGCCACAGGGAAGGGAGAAGCGGTGGCGGCCACCCAACTACCATCGCTCGGGGCGCCGGGCGATTCCGGGCGGCCTAAGGAGCGGCCCCGGTGGAGACGCAGGCGGTGTGCAGGGCCGCGGTCCCCTCCCGGTACCCGGCTACGGCGGGACCCTGAGCAGTGCGCCGGCGGCCGCCCTCCACCCCCGCTGACCCCAGCGCAGCCCGCGGCCCTCCCTACCTCGCCGCTTGGCGCGCACGATGCCCTTCTTCTGCAGCACGAAAGTGGACCCGTTCACCAGGCTCGAAACCACGGCCACGCCCAGGCCGAGCGACACGGCGGCGGGGCTCGGGCTGCGCGCCCCCTCCCCGGCCGCCGCCGCCGCTGCCGCCGCTGCAGTCCCCATGCCGCCCGCGCCCGCCCTCCGCGCCTGCGCACGCGCGCCGCCGGCCTGGGGGCGGGTCCGGGAGCCGGGGGGCGGGCTCGGGGGCGGGGTGGGAAGGGCTCTAGGGAGCCGCAGGGGCGGGGCGGGCTCTTGTGTCTGAGGGCCGGGGTCCCCCAGAGCGAGAGTGGAGAGGAGCAGGTAGTTTTGGGTGACTCTTAAGAGTGATGAGGAAGTGGGTAAGGGTGTAGGTGGGTCTATGGCCAGACGGGATTCCCAGATTTGGCAAACCGAAATATGCAGGGCGCGCAGTTCAGTTTCCACATCAAGTAAATAATTGAGAGTTTGGCCCTGGCTGGGTAGCTCAGTTGGCTAGAACATGGTCCCTAAACACCAAGGTTGGGGGTTTGATCCCGGGTGAGGGCACACGGAAGAATCAACCAGTGGGTGCACCAATAAGTCGAACAACAAAAGATATTTCTGTTTGTCTCTCTCTCTCTCTCTCTAATAGTCAATCAATAAAGACAAAATTCTTATTTTATTGTTCAATTACAGTTGTCCCTATTGTTCCCGCATTGCTCTCTCCTGTCTCGCCCTCCTCAGTCAGTCCCCACCCTGTTGTCCATTACCATGGGTCCTTTACACAAGATCCTTAACTAGACCCTTGTCCTTCTTTCTCCCCTTATCTCCCTCCTCCCTTTTGGTCACTGTCAGTTTGTTCTTTATTTCCATGTCTTTGGTTCTAGTTTGCTCATTTGTTTGTTTTGTTGATTAGGTCCCACTTATAGGTGAGATTATATGGTATTTCTCTTTTGCCTCCTGGTTTATTTCACTTAGCACAATAATCTCCAGTTCCATCGGTGCTGTTGGAAAAGGAAGGAGTTCATTCTTTCTTTCTGTTGCGTAGTGTTCCATTGGGTAAATGTACCACATTTTCTTGATCCATTCATTTACTGGTGGGCACTTAGGCTGTTTACAGCACTTGGCTATTGTAAATATTGCTGCTGTGAACATTGGGGTGCATAGGTTCTTTTGATTTGGGGGTTCAGAGTATTAGGGTATAATTCCAACACTGGGGTCACTGGATCAAAAGGCAGTTCCATCTTTAGTTTTTTTGAGGAAATTCCATTTTCCACAGTGGCTGCAGCAGTCTGCATTCCCACCAACAGTGCACCAGGGTTCCCTTTTCTCTACAATCTCTCTAACACTTGTTGTTTGTTGATTTGTTAATGGTGGCCATTCTGACCGGTGTGAGGTGGTTTCTCATTGTGGTTTTAATGTGCATCTTTCTCATGGCTAGTGATGTTGAACATCCTTTCACATATCTGTATGTCCTCCTTGGAGAAGTGTCTGTTCAGGTCTGTTTGGGTCCTTTGCCCGTTTTTTCATCGGATTTTTTGTCTTCCTGATATTTAGTCATATGCATTCTTCATATATTTTGGAGATCAAATCCTTGTCCCAGGTATCATTGGCAAAAATGTTTTCCCATATGGTTGGTTCCCTTTTCATTTTGCTGTTTTCTTTAGCCATGCAGAAGCTTTTTAATTTGATATAGTCCCATTTGTTTATTCTTTCCTTTATATTCCTTGCCCTAGGCAATATATCGGCCAAGATATTTTTTGGTGGGATATCTGACATTTTACTGCTTATGTTTTTCAGAAAAAGAAATAAAAGACATCCAAATTGGAAAAAAGAAAGCAAAACTGTCATTGCAGATGACATGATAATGTACTAGAAAACCCCATAAGCTCCACCAAAAAACTACTAGACTGAATACATGAATTTGGCAAAACAGCAGGATACAAAGTCAATATTCAGAAATCGAAGGCATTTTTGTACCCCAACAATGAAATGGCAGAAATAGAAAAAAATCCAATTTGCCATAGAAACAAGAAAAATAAAGTACCTAGGAATAAACTTAACAAAGAAAGTAAAAGACCTGTACTCAGAAAACCACAGATCACTAAAGAAAGAAATTAAGGAAGACACAAACAAATGGAAGAATATGCCGTGTTTATGGATAGGAAGAATTAACATCATTAAAATGTCCATACTACCCAAAGCAATCTATAGATTTAACATAATCTTTTAAAAAAATATTTTATTTATTTATCTCTAGAGGGGAAGGGAGGGAGAAAGGGAGAGAAATATCAATGTATGGTTGCCTCTCATGCGTCCCCTGCTGGGAACTGGCCTGCAACCCAGGCATGTGCCCTGACTGGGAATCGAACTGCAATTGTCTGGTTCGCAGGCCCGTGCTCAATCCATTGAGCTACACCAGCCAGGTAACATAATTTTTATCAAAATACCAATGACATATTTCACAGATATATAATAAATATTTCAAGATGTATATGGAACCATAAATGATCCCAAATGGCATCAGCAATTTTGAGAAAGAAGAACAATGTAGGAGGGATCACGATACCTGATATCACATTATATTACAAGGCCGCTGTAATCAAAGTCTGGTACCAGCATAAGAACAGACACATGGATCAATGGAAAAGAATAGAAAGCCCACAAATAAACCCATGTCTCTATAGTCAATTAATATTTAAGAATGAAGGCAGGAGAAAATAAATGAAGTAAAAATAGCCTCTTCAATAAATGGTGTTGGCAGGTCTGGACAGGTACATGCAAAAAAAAAAAAATGAAACTGCATCACCAACTTACACCATACACCAAAATAAACTCATGATGAATAAAAGATTTAAATATAAATTGTGACAACATAAAAATAAAATTCTTATTTTCTATTTAAGATTTTATTATTTTATTTTTAGAGAGAGGGGAGGAAGAGAGGGAGAGAAAATTAGATTGGTGGCCTTTTGTGCACCCCCTACTGGAGACCTAGCCCGCAACCCAGGTATGCAATCTGATCCAGAATTGAACCAATGACGCTTCGGTTTGCAGGCTGGCGCTCATCCACTGAGCCGCACTAGCCAGAGCTAGAATTCTTTAAAAAATGATAATTGCGTGTGTCCCATGCGCTATTTGGGGCTGGAGAGCTACAACAGGACACGGCCCTTCCAGTACCACTGTCCCTAAGCAACCTCCACTCAGAGGTCATTCGGGAGCCAGCGCCCCCTGGTGCCAGAGACCAGAGCTGTCTGCTGTAGGAACTCAGATGGCACCACCGAGTGGGGTGTGGGGTCAGCCACACTGGAGCTTGTGATCATAACATCGAATCTCCTAATTTAGGCTTTTATTTTTACTTTTGATTCTTTAATAGTTGACATTATGTTACTTTTTGATGTACAGCATAGTGATCAGACATTTATATAACATACAAAGTGTTCAGCCAGATAAGTGTAGTACTCACCTAACTCCATACATAGTTACTATGATATTTTTAATAGTATGATCCCCTTTATTAATAATTATATGCACCCTGGCTGGTGTGGCTCAGTGGATTGAGGGAGGGCCTGTGAACCAAAAGGTCGCCCATTCAATTCTCAGTCAGGGCAGATGCCTGGATTGCCGGCTGGGTCCCCAGTGGGGGGCGTGTGAGAGAGGCAACCACACGTTGATGTTTCTCTCTCTTTCTTTCTCCTTCCTTCCTCTCTCTCTAAAATGTAAATGAATAAGACCTTAAAAATAATTGTTTGCATATACATAAACAGATTTCTTGTAGTATTAGCATTAAAATGGATAATCTGGATAGTAAAAATTTGAATACCATTTATTCTTTTTTATCATAAGCATGTATTACTTTTCCTTCACTAACCTTTATTCATAACAAGAATTGACTGCCTTTATAATTGATAAAAAGAAAGCAAAATATCCTCTGAACAATCAACATTTCAAAAAATCAATTGGCAATTTTGGTATTTTTATTGTATCTAAAATTATTATTTTTTAAAATAAAAAGAAAATCTTATTTTCTTTTAAAGATTTTATTTATTTATCTTAAGAGGGGAAGGGAAGGAGAGAGGGAGAGAAATATCGGTGTATGGTTGCCTCTTGTGCGCCCCCTGCTGGGATCTAGCCTGAATGGAACTGCGATCCTTTGGACCGCAGGCCTGTGCTCAATCCACTGAGCTACACCAGACAGGGCTAAAATGATTTTTTAAAGTGATCGATGACAGTTGACATACAATTTTATATTAGTTTTGGGTATAAAAGATAGTGATTAGACATTTACCGTATTTTGCCATGCATAATGTACATCCACGTTTTTGGCCCAAACTTTCAGGAAAAAAATCTCTCATTATAATTGTTTAATTTATTTATATTTAGAAACAAAACTGATGATCATAATATAGGGTATTATTTTGCATACAGATATTGTCATTGCTTTGTACAGTTGTACTTTAAATGCATAAGCATAAATAAAAGAACTAAGCACATTTATATAGCTACAGAATTAGTACTACCCATGTATAATGCACATCCTTATTTTTCCCTCAAAAATTCTCACAAAAAAGTGAGCATTATACACTGCAAAATACGGTATGTAACTTATGATGTAATCCCTTCCCCACAAGTCTAGTACCCACCTGGCCCCATACGTAGTGATTACAATATCATTGACTATTCCCTGTGCTGTACATTACATCCTTGTGACTGTTTTCATAACTGGCAAATTGTACATCTGAATCCCTTCCCTTCTTCCCCCCAGTCTCTCAATTCCTTCCCCTTGAGCAACCATCAAAATGTTCTCTGTATCTGAGTTTATTTGTTTTATTTGTTCATTTACTGTATTTATTTTATTTTTGTAATGCATTTATTTATTTTTTAGAGAGGGGGAAGGGAGAAAGAAAGAGAGGGAGAAGATCATTAATGTGTGGTTGCCTCTCACACATCCCCTACTGGGGACCTGGCCTGCAACCCAGGCATGTGCCCTGACAGGGAGTTGAACTGCTGACCCTTTGGTTTACAGGCCAGCTCTCAATATACTGAGCCACACCAGCGAGGGCTATTGCATTTTTTTTAGATTGCACACATAAATGAAACTGTATGGTATTTGTCTTTCTCTGCCTGACTTATTTCACTTACCATAATATCCTCTAGGTCCATCCCTGTTGTCAAGAATGGCAA